TAATTTGAGTGATTTATTTAAAGCATTCCTTATAAAAAAAAACAGTTAATTGTGGAGGCATGTAAACTTTTGAAAATAAATTAAATCTGGAAAATTATTATTCAAACCATTAGAACCTTATGGCCTGCGCAGACAAAAAATCCTGTATCGTGAATAAAAAATCCGCCGTGTACTTGCCACGGCGTGCAAACAATGTTTGCCAAACATTTCTTGCTCGAAAATTTAGCGAAGCGCACGTTTAGGAATCAAATTAATATTCACAGATAACTTTGTGTTGTTATCATAAAGTTTAAGAAAAAGAGAGGGGTTTTGGCGGGATTTTGTCGTGTGCAGTTGGCGTCTTATTTTATTTACTTATTCTTAAATTCGTTCATAGTGGATATTGTGAAATAAAATTAAGGTAATTTTGTGTTACAACCGTCTGTGCAACTGAAGAATTAGTGGAATCTTTAAAATATACGCTATTCTGATAAAGTAGACGTGAGAACTTTATTGTAGTGTTGACTACCTCACAGAAGCTTATGGAAAAAGCCAACTCGATTAATTTTGTGCCAAGCACTCCAAGAAACATTAGAATGCGTCACACCGACGTTCTAATGTTAAAAAAAATGAATAGAACTAGACTAGGCATTTTTTCCTTTGCCTTCCCTGAAATGGGAGAATTAAAAAAAAAAAGAAAATACTGGGTCCATCTCTTTATAATCTGTAGGAAGAAAATTCGCTGTCTGCGTTGCTGCGCCTATTCGCGCGAGTTTTTCTTACCGGGGACTTCCCGTACTTTTTTGTCAAGTCCGATTTCTCGGCGTCCTAGGGACATTTTGTACTTACGGTTCGTTAAATCCTTCGCGAGCGTTACTCGATACTGTTGTTAGCGGTTTATTTTAACGAACATAAAGTCCGCGGCAAAAGTCCTTATAATCTGCTCAGGTCTTTATGGCTCATAATCAAAAATATTTCTTTCATACAAAATCGATGTTTAAGCTCAGATTACGAAACAAAAGGCAGGTGGAAGGCACGGAAGTGCGGCCGCCTAAGCAAATACGAATTCAAAAGCGAATACAAACTGGTGTCAGTCAGCTACAACGCGTGGTGTTGTAAATACGTCCCGTGAATTTGTTTCTTAGGTTTTCACGCACACCACGCATTAAATAAAACAAGTTTCAACGGTATAAATGCACTGATTTTATTTATGTATTGACGTTTCGCATCGTGGAAAGGATGTCCAGATATATATGTCGTCTGAATAATGTGAGGAAAGGTCTCCCAATTTTGAAACTGGTGGTAATTTTATGGTCAACTCATACCGAAAGAGCGGCGAAAGGCTGCGAAGCGCAGCGACCCGCTCGGTAGAGAGGAATTCGTCGGAATTTCTCATGCGATAATAAGTATTATAGTAATGAAAATAAAGTTAAAATTGATATGACACTGAAACTGCGCTCCGCTTCGCTGCGCTTCGACGCTCTTTTGGTGTGAGTTGAGCCTTACGGTAGTTGGGGTCAAATAAAAAAACTCAAAATTACAAAAAATAAATAAATAAAGTAATTTTTATTATTTTTAAAGCATGTAACTGCTTGATGTTTAAATCTAAAGAAAATATAACTAGAAAAAATTCCACGCGGACCAGGCAGCAGACGGGACTCGAACCCGCACCCTTCGCAATCCGGGCGAATGCACTGACCAATTATGCTACCGCGGCCCTCGCGGACCGCGTCGAAATTCTTTCTAGCTATTCTTAAGCTGCAAGGCAGCGCCATCTCTTCGCAGAGTCCCGTCTGCTGCCTGGTCCGCGTGGATTTTTTCTAGTTATATTTTCTTTAGATTTAAACATCAAGCAGTTACATGCTTTAAAAATAATAAAAATTATAACTATAATTGCTATTTCTCCTTTCAAATGTTTAATACTTGTAAAAGTATTCATTTGACATTGTGGGTTTACCTATAATGCGAAGAGATGGCGCTGCCTTGCAGCTTAAGAATAGCTAGAAAGAATTTCGACGCGGTCCGTGAGGGCCGCGGTAGCATAATTGGTCAGTGCATTCGCCCGGATTGCGAAGGGTTCGAGTCCCGTCTGCTGCCTGGTCCGCGTGGAATTTTTTCTAGTTATATTTTCTTTAGATTTAAACATGAAGTAAGTAATCCAAACTTATTCTTCGTTTATGTTAATGCGTCATGTTAACTTGAACAGTATTATTTATGTCCCACGTCTTTGTATATAAGTTGCGTCTTCCAGTTTGCAGAGCATGTAATATTGTGTTCTTTTCACGATACCAGTACAAATGTATTTTACTAATAAAAACTATCTACCCTTCTTATTGTGTTGTTTTATTGTATAAAGAAAACGGTACCCTTAGCATACCAACCATTATCGAATTCGAATAGTTTGCGAGTCCGAAATGTCATTGTCAAATAGAACCATAACGTACGTAAAGAGAACTAAAAATCAGTACACATTTCAATCAGTACACATTTCAAAAATCAGTACTCGCAAATATCGAATTCGTATCGTTTGCGAGTCCGAAATGTCATTGTCAAATGTGTACTGATTTTTAGTTCCCGTTACGTACTTTGTGGCGCTGCTGTTCAAGTTTCCATAGAAAATTTGACATTGACATTTCGGTTTGCAAACTATTGGAATTCGATAATGGTTATTGCTAGGGGTACGGTTGTTTGCAGTGAAACTCGAAAGTTATGAAAAACCTAAGATCAGAAATAACATCCAACATTTTCATTTGTCTCTCAAACACACATTAAAAGATAACAGTGATACACGGTGCTTTAATAAGCTTTGCCGTATTTATTAGGAACCTATGGACCTATTGGAGACCCTGGGCATATTAGGATATTGTGGCCCCTACGACCCCCGTTTGGTGATTTAACAGGAACTAGGGACTTTGTATTTGACCTGCGGGGGCCCATATCGATCGCGGGGCCCTAGGCACTTGCCCAAAGTGCCTACTAGGACTGCCTACTGCCACCGGCTCGCCCCCCACTACATTTCCACCTAACAGATAATAGCCAATCTAAACGACGCGTCATCAAACAATCGACCCAATAAGCGCTCACATCCGAGAGCAACGACTCGATCAGAACCAAGTTTAGGTCAAGTTATGAGCATTTGCTCACACATAACAGTGGCGCGCCTGACCCGCCCACAAAGCCCTTCTAACATCTTTCGGTGTTCTGTGCCCGCAGCACCCCTTAGAATTAGTAAATACATCAAAGTACCTATAGGTTTAGTAACGAAGTGCCGTTTTAAAGCTTCGCCTTTTTGGCCCTAGTTAACAAGTAATACAGTTAACAGTCCGGTTAACTATGTTACTGTAAGAAATAATATAACGACATTCCATTCAACAGGACCAAATGTACTTTGGGCAATCAACGTAATTATATATGTCATGCGCTGCCTTATTATAGACTGAAACCTATTGAATCCAGTTATCAGTTGATTTTTAATGCTGTATTTTCAATACAAAGGAGTGCCAAGATTGTTTACCAAATAGGACTAGTTAGGATGAACAGATTGTAGTATCTAGTAACAGAAATTTTATTTTTTTAAAAAGATTGTCCGTTTACTATGATTCATTGCTAATAAGTTAAAAAAATAATAGATAAATAAGAGTGAAAGACATTCTTTTGGGTATGCTAGAGCCGATGTCCTTTAGCTATTCTTATGTGGTATGAGCCGAACTAGCTAGATGGCGCAAGTGGTTAGCGCGTTTGGCTACGGTCGTTGTAATTGAGCAACTTCCGCAGTGGTCGGTTATCGGATTGGTGACCAAAAATTTATTATCTTGAGCTCCGCTGTGCTTCGGAAGGCACTAGGTCCCGGTTGCATTGCAGTCGTTATCACCCAGCAATAGGTACTAGGCTCGCGTGGTGGGTCATGGCCCAATCTCCCTATACCATCCTTAGGGAAGGCCTGTGCCCCATCAGTGGGGAAATTTTATAGGCTGATGATGAAACCAACTACTTACATGAAAGATAAGAATCAATATATTCTCGCTTCCTGTTTTGCCCGCACTTAAATTCTATAGTGGTGTCAATTCTGGCATGGTTCTCCCAAACCATTTTTTGTGTGTCGGGGAAATACCTTACGCATCCTTCAACCACCGGGGGAGCGAGAAGAAGGTATGTGGGGCTCCTCCCTGCTCATTTCGTCCGGCCCTATGGTTGGGCCCTACCTACGCCCTGAACAGGGCCACTAAAAACGAGAAAATACTCCTGCGCCAGTTACCCGACACGCATTCGGAGAACCGAGGTCCCCCCCAATGCGTGTCGGGAGTGCGGATGTGGTCGTGCCACCTCATTTCCAATGAGGGCTATCGCGTATGAATACGCCGCTAGAGGCGCTAGTGTAGCGTGAGGTCTCCGAAATGTCAAATGTTATTGCTTGTTGGTTGACTACGCGGGTTTATTTCTAATTAAAATAATGTTGTGAATAATTGGTAACAATTCGGCTTAATTATGGCAAATATGAGTAATGTGGCAATGAATGTCAGTTATTAAAAACTTGAGCATAGAAAAATGATTATGTTCCCATTTTTTCCGAATAAAACGGAACTGCACGTCACTGTGGCATGGCCTATTATGTTTAGGATATGGTTCTTTTGTGTTAAAATACGATCTAAATGTAACCTTTGATTTCATGTGCGTATTAATAAACTTTAAAAGTTACAATTTAGGACCTCACTCAACAGTGGCGCCATCTGGTGAGGCAGAAAACGGTAGCCCTCATTGGCCATCCGCCGGTGTTTGTCCATTACTGGACCCACACCGATGAAGATGCCCCGGAGTATCAGGGGCATCAGCATCCAGAGAGCTCGTACAATGCGAGCCCGTCCTCCCCCAGGACAGACCCGCGGCTCTCACGAAGGTTTCTCTAAACTTAAACGTAAATTTGACAACAGTGTATCCTTGTCATTCTCTATACCGAACGAAAAGGAGAGACTGATGTTAAATTTAGTTTAAGCTTAGAGAATCATGCGAGAATGGTCGCCACTGCTTTCCTGAAAAGTGCGCTCAATATGAATTTACCGTGAGGACGTCGAAATAAAAACAAACGCTCAAATTTCGATTAATTTATTATAATGTGCGATGTTAAAATATGTTTATTATAATAAAGCATTTCAACTAGACAACTGGGGCAGGCTCGCCCCGCCCCGCGCGACACTTGTCCATTTGACGACACCTCTATACATAACTAATTCATTTCAAGGCAAATAAAGAGTTACAATCTCGTCGTTAATAATACAATTACTTTAAAAAAATATATATAGTAAGAGAGATTTCGTTCAGTACAATCAAACGTGGGCGAAGCGGCGACTCTGATACAGAGTACCGATTGACGTATTTTTATAATCATTTATTATTAAGCACTATCTAACAACCTCGTTATCGTTTGTAAACTACATATATCATACAGGTTGAGGAGAAGTATCGGCTTGTTGTCGAAAAGCGATTTACAATATTTGAAGATTAAGCTGGGGAAATCGCGTAAGCGACTGCTCTTTGAGGTTGACACGAAAAATAATTATTATTTGAAATAGTTTCTTATTCTCTATTTAGAGTGTAGACAGCAGCAAAAGAGACAAGTGTTTGCAGTGAAATACCATTAATCTGTCTAGCACCAGACGAGCACAATCATTAGCCATCTATGTGACATCATAAGAGTCCTACAGTCGCAAAAATGAAATTACTAAACGGGTACTGTACGATCACATTCTGCATTAATCAAATTTAACACTTTTAATGAACTCCAAATGAAAACGCGGTATGAACGAGTCTCACAAAACTCACAAATTATAATAATGGTGATGATGATATATCACAACATAATAAATAAGTCGCATTACAAAATTAAAAAAAAAATGAAGAAATATAAAACAAATGTACTTTTTTGACTTGAAAAAGAAACTTACAGTTACAAGAGTCTTTCGCAAATAGTTTACTATTTTTATTAAAATTAAACAAACACGTTGCACGTTTTACGCTTTTTTAATGAGATGAATTTTTAATTATTATCATTAATAATAAATGTTATAACAGTAGAATAAATTATAATTACAATACAAATAATGGTAAGAGAAAAATCTGTGTATAGAAATTTATCTCACCGGCTCGTGTCAGTCATCTTTGTATATTATTCTAACAAAGTATATGCAGTCGGACGCCCGTCTGCGCGGCCCGTAAGGACAGACGGACCGACAATCGCCGCGTCATAGTATTACCGCACCTTTAGTCTTTATATGTAGAGACCATGCCTTAGAGCTTGTATCGATCTTATTAAGCAGGGTACAATCAAAACACAAAGTTGAGAGCAACAGACCATCGAAGCCCAAGCGTTATTTATTATTTGTTACGTTACATTAATATGGATGTTAGAGGCTAAACATAAAGCAATATAATACAAGTGTGTCCACGACAAATTCCAACTCTTCGTATACGCCAATCACCATACGCCTGGTACCTCTACTTAAATATATGGCCACAGCACTTGACGGGACGATGCATTGAGGCGAAATCTCAAATAGCTTGCAAACAATACAATCACATATTTCTTTGTGCGAGTCGAAAATCTCTAATCGCAACGCTGTTCAAATAATCTCAATTCTTATTGCCCCGAAGATTAAGTCACTTTTCGCGTGGCGGTAACATTATTTTCGTTTTTCATATTTTTTTCAAACAAATCAACAACAACATTACTTGTACCTACATTACAAACACATGTGGACGGTGTATGCGTCCAAAGCTTTTCTTAAACACACAGAAATAAGTACCAAATGTTGTCGTTGTATATATAAATATACAGGGTGTTACAGAATTCCGAAATCAAATTTGTAGGTATGTATTCCGAAATAAAAATTTGTAGGTATCTGAGCGGGGCGCAGGGGCGCCTGGGAGAGAGAGGGGAGTCTGTTTAGGTAGTAGTAATCGTACGCATTTATAGGGTTGTCATAGGCAGGTGTAAAACAATATTTTTATTTTATTAATTTAAATAGAAAATAAAAGTGGTCTGAAAGGCGTCAAACTTTCGTAGGTAATTCTATACAAGGAACACAACCAAACCCTAAAGTTTTATTTCGGACTTTTGTCACACCCTGTATAGATAGATGTGTATACAGATTATGAATAAGGAGTATTTTCTACGAACATAAAACTCGCATTTTAGGATATGAGCACACTAATGACTAACCATATTAATACGCATCCATTTCTCTCAATCTATCTCTTTCTATCGCTCGGACGATGCTACCACCAGAGCGAGAGGTATACTGAAAACGCGGTTGCAATAGCACTAAATTACGTAGAAAAAACACCTTTTACATAGGATCTTAAATCATCCATATATCACCCACACTGCTGTCGTCCTCAAATAAAGTGCGGCTAAGCGACATGTGGTCGATTTTTTAGACTTAAATTCCATTTTATACAGTTTTTAATTCTCCATCGATCTGTATTTAACAAGTATTCGTATATTTTATAATAGTTTGTCTAAAAATCCGTCATGTGACGACGAATAGTTACAAAATAGCAATAATTTAAACAATACGCGCCGTTTTTTGGCCGTAACTCAAGTTGGTTTTGTCATTTAGCTTGAGGACGGCAGCACAGAACACAGAAACAGGTTAGAAGGGTGATCATAGACCGTTTGTTCAGGAAGCGATGTCGCCAGCTCGCCCCCACTACAATTCCACCTAATAGACAATAATAGCCAATCAAACGACGCGACATCAAACCATCGAACCAATCAGAGCTCACACCTGAGAGCAACGACGCGATCAGAGCCAAGTTTTGGTCAAGTTATGAGAATTTGCTCACACATAACTGTGGCGCGCCTGCCCCGAGCACAAGGCCCTTCTAACCCCTTTCCGTGTTCCGTGATATCATTACATAACGAGAAATAACAAGCGGTCGGTAAGGCAAAACATATGTTACTGAATAACAACAAACACTTATGTAATAACACTCGACTCGCACCAAAACACTCGCGCCATTCTGATATTGACACACGTGCAATAAACGTTATTTACATTGGAGCTAAATATTGTATAAAATTTGTTGATCAAAATCGTATTTACAAAAAAAATTACTTGTTCCGAATTCATTGTGATTATTCCGAAGATGCACACTAAAGTGTTTAAACAGCAGTCAAACGGCTAAACCGCCATCTTATTCTCAATTTAACATAATGATATAATTTACTATTTTTTGCATTGTCAATGCTGTATCACTACTAAGGTTAGTAATGAAAGAAAATTAATGAATCACCAACAACATCTATTTTAAGTATGTACATTTCAACAGTGGCAATCAAATTGTCAATATCAAAATGGCCCGAAAGCTTTGCGATGCGAGAGAATTTGCAGATAACCGTTAAACAATTCCGTTCACAACGTCTTAAGAGTTATTAGCAACTGTCGTTTGAACATCACACCGTCACGCCAGCACTTCACTTCGATATTCGTGTTTGCTATTCGTAAATTTGACATCAGTCTCACGGTTCCCAACTTAGGGGTTGTGTCCCTAGATTTAGGGGCTAGGAGGGTTAAATCGGACTTTTTTAGGGGCTGGAATTTTTTAGGGGTTCTTTTAGGGGCTTTTAACAAAACTTGCAATGAAATCGAAAAACAAAGCGTGTGTTTTCTTTCAGTTTTTGCGTAGAATGGAACGCACCACGATATGAAACGACTGAACTGACTGTGTGGCAGATTGTTTCCTAAGGCTGTATGGACTAAAGTTAAAAAACAGCTAAATAACATTTAACAGCCTGTCAGCTCATTTTCGTTTGATTTTCCATTCAGAAAATGTATTGATTCAATAAAATAATTTACTGTAACTAAATATATAACGTTTTAATTTATGAGCAACGAAAGAATTCAGGTAATAAGATAAGTAGGTACATATAAATTTCTATATTTAGGGGATTTTAGGGGAATTTAAAAAATACTTAGGGTAAAATTTTAGTAAGGGTTGGTAACACTGATCAGTCTGTTCTTTTCATTTCATATAAAGCATCACAAGCACAGCCTGTTGCCAAGTATACAAATAGCAAATACGAATAGCCAAGCGAAGTGTCGGCATCATACATCACTGGGATATAAGAAGCGGAACTACCAATTTGTACTTCCAATCTGAACTACAGTTTGAGAAATAGGCCATTGGCTGAGTTAAATGCATTGATGAATAAAGGTCACTCGTGTTAGTGGGCGAATATACTTATCGTCTGCACAGAATACCGCACCGGCGCATGCACATCTATGCCACATATCAATCCTTGTAGCACCCGGTAGCTTTCCGCGTCCCTTTGTGCTTTAACACTCCCTACAATAAACAGTCTATCATCGAATCCACTGCACGCGTTCCACCATATTTGTACCTAACTTCAGAGTGGAAAAACTAAAACCGTTACAATGAAATGTGTCACAAATTCTGCGCTCTCCGAAATCAAAAGCAAACAGAGTAGCGTTGATTCGTTGGTAGGCCAGCTACGGAACTGAAAGTCAGTCGTTATCTTCGCACAGATAAAAAGCACAATTTATTTTGACGATTTCATTGTATCTGCGTTTGCGACGTACAATCCACCGTTTCGAAGCGAGTGCGCAAGCGTCCTAGCGCGTAGCACGTTTGAGATCATTTAATCGTTTGACGAAGGATAATATATTTAAAAAAAATGTAGGAACACTGTTTGTTTTCCGAAATAAGAAAAATACTAACGTATTTGTTTGTAATAAAAACAAAATATGAAATTGAAATACCCATCAAATTACTATAAAACTGTTTCGGTAAGTACTTTATTGCTTTTGTACAAAAATTCAAATCCTTTGACTTGTTTGTCAATAAAAATCAATGGCGGGGCATAGAGTTTTAATGCTAGTCCACGTAGCGTTCAATTGACGTAACTTTATGAGTGCACGCAAGACTTCGTTAACAATAAATTCGCATAAAGGCGACAATTGCATGCGCTCGATCCACAGAATTCTAGGAGCCGTAGAGATTTAGCGCACGCGATTCTCGCCTCTAACTTGCGGACCGTCGACTTTTACTAGCACGCGCACACGCTTCTCACGGCTGTAACGTTCAGTAGTACGTTCGAGTTTGTTGGTACGATTGCACGCCTTGTGCGGTGGCGATAAGGTCGACAGTTCCATGGCTAGTGGTGCCGCGCCGGGGGCGGGTGGATGCGGCGAGAGATGTGCTCCTCCTGTTGCATCTTGGCGCGGAACTCTGCGACCAAGTCGCGCGACTGAGCCAACACTGCCAGTTGCTCGTTCAATAACTCCTCCCATTGCGTCGCGTACGCTGTCAATCGAACAACGCGTTCGTCAATAAGAGTCGAATTTGTAGGTTTAAAAGCCCTTACTAATAAACAGTGTATAAATGTAGATCTGAAAAAGATTCATGCGAATTAAAAATGGTATTCGAATTGTGTGACGAAAGACTTATACATTGTTTATAAGTTAGGCTGTGGTAAGCATAGTTTATAAAATTGGGATGAGTTTAGTGGTCGCGCTCAAAGACGACAATTTAACCAATTATTCATTTTTGGAAAGAAATAATAAGTATATTTGTTGATTTTGCAAAGAAGACATCATCAACTCCAATTAAACTTAAAAGTTAATTAAGCTTTGAGCGCAACCGTTAGCGATAAATGCATTGTTGTTTTTATGCTTTCAAATACCAGTTTTTGAGTAACAATTAAGTTGACAGTTATGATTGTTGGTCCGTTAAGTAAATGCCGTGAAAGCGATTATATACCGAAAATAAAAATGATCAATCTCAACATTTTGAAGGGTCACAAGAGTTACAACTCCGATGACCTGAACTTAATAACCTGAATCGAAAAAATTGGGATTAAAGACGACTTGCAAACCATTGTTGTTAAATATGATTCGATAGTTTAGTTAACCATATATAAAATGTGTCCCATGATGCGAGATGGATGTTTCATTTAGCAAATATTAAAAGTGATAATACTGACTGCGATTTTATGACGTTGTAATAAGAGTGATATTCGTTGTGTAAGCTTGTGTATGTTTGGCTGTAAAAGGTATTCTTACAGAATTTGCAAATATGGTTGGATTATTTGTTGCCCGTTTTAAAAGCACCTGCGAGTGAATTTTACTGTATAATATTTGTTAAATTTAATAACCAACATAAAAATAATTCCGTAAACATTTTTTTTTCTAAAGTTTTATAAACAAAATATCGTTGTGCACCAGCCACAACTTTAATATGTGATCCGTTAATAAGCCAATAGAAACAATGTATAAGTGAATGGAGATTAAACAACGCCCACCGCAAGTAATTTTGATGTTTGGGCTACCACATTCAACTAGGTGTCGTTACGTCAAAAAGAAATTAACTGTAATCTCTTATCTATTAGACAAGTCCGTCCGTCTGTCTGTGGTGCTGTTTCAGCGGCCAAACCGTAAGAGATAGATAAAGAGAATATTTAAGTTATAAGTTAAGAATAGTCTGATAAGACTACAAACCGGATTTGAGTAACGTAGCACTTCCGGTTTTCGAGAAATCAGGTTTTGGTGAACATTTGGTTCACTGGTTTGCTAGTTTGATCTATTTCCTAAATGATCGCGTAAATGTTTAGACACTGCTTAAATCTTTTATTAATGATTAATTGAATAATTGAAACATAAATCTATATTAAAAATGAAGAAAAAAGCATATACTATATCCTTGTTATTTGCACCAAACGTGCTCTTATCAATTAGGTTATGTTAAAAGATAATTTGGGGACTACAAAGAAAGATTACGTCAGAATTTCTTGAATTAGTTACGAAATTTAATATAATGCGATTCAATAAGAATAGGAAAGCCAATGACCTCTATCTGTCAAATGCCGCTTGAAAAGTAACGGTTTGCAAAAAAAATCTTGGAACCCTTTTTTAGCACTCCACTTGATAACCTAAATCGTCAACCAAATGTCACTTGCGTCAAAAAAGTCGCGTTCAGAAACTCGATTTCAAACTTTCGTTTACATAAAGGATGCATGTTCGTATGTGACCTAGTAATAGTGCATGATTGTTCATAACTACTGCTGCGGTAATGCAGAGATGAGCGGAATAGAAGAGCTAGATTCTGATTAATGTTTTTTCTCAGTCTTAATAAATAAAATTTTTACAAATCGGTGCTTTTTTTCTATCTTAGTAAATAAATGTTATTAAAAAAATCTGATGTTTTTTCTCACTTAATCTTAGTAAATAAGTTTTATTAAGTAAAAATTTTTTTTTTGCTCACTCTACCTATTTGGTTTGAATTGACAGCTATGACATCACAATATGGCGCCCAGTCGGTCCTATTCTTAGTTGAATCGCATTATACAGTGAAACGAAAACAAATTTAGTTTCCGTTTTAAATCTACATCGAAATAATCGGTTATGAGCACAGTGTCTAGAATGAAAGATGCCACTTCTCCAATAATGGTGTCAATTCTGACACGATTCTCTAAACCTTAACTTAAATTTGACAACAGTGCATCCCTGTCATTTTCTATACATAATGAAAAGGAGAGACTGATATTAAATTTAGTTTTAAGTTTAGAGAATCACGCCAGAATCGACACCAATACCTAAAACGCTTATTGACTAAGAAGCAGATTGCCTACAATTTATCGTGACTATAATGTTTGCTATCAACCCTCAATTTGAAATCTTCAAAATATCTTTTCTTCTCTTTAATAATCTTTTATACCCTAAAAATAAAAAAATACCCTTAAACACTCATTAAAAATACAAGTATTATTTAAACTAAATCTTATAAATTTCAAGTGCTAGTATCGAATTACAACAATAGTTTTCAAACAAACTTGCGCATAAGCCATTAAAGAGACAGTGCATTTGAGGCACTTCGATTTGTAGACGAAATAACATTTAGGCAATTACAATGTCTAGACATTCATGGGTAGGCAATCTACATCTCTGTCTTTTGACTTGTAAGGCATTTTTGCAGTAATGGCATCTTGCATTTTAGGCACTGTGCTCAACTGCTCCTAACCGTATATTTCGATGTAGATTTCAAACTGAACAAACTAAATTTAGTTTTCGTTTCACTGAAACAAGCTGAAATAATCTCTAATTTGACGTTATCTACAGCTATGAAGTTCCGTGGAGATTGTTCAACACAACGACACCTAGCCCGGTTACTGTGGCAGCCCGTAATGCCAATAATGGTAAGCTTTGTAGACTCGTTTCGAACCTAATCGCAGACGGCGACGGCGAGCGGCGGCTATAGCGGCGCCTCGCGCCCTCTTGCGGCGCCCTGGACAATATACGTGTCGCATTGACGTATAAAAACAAGTACACTCACTATCGCGTTCAAAAAGTGTCAGAACCAATAATAATAATAATAAAAAAAAACAGAATTTTGGAAATCTGTCCGCAATTGACGGAGAAATCGGTGAACATAACATAAATATATATATATATATACTAGCTGACCCAGCGAACTTCGTACCGCCATAAAAAGAATAGGGGTTGGTGGTAGAAAGTTGAAAATTTAGGGATGTATGTATTTTTGTATGATGTATCATAAAAAAATATTTAAAATTGAAAAAAAAATTTAGGAGTGGATTACCCTTAACATTTAGGGGGATGAAAAATAGATGTTGTCCGATTCTCAGACCTACCCAATATGCACACAAAATTTCATGAGAATCGGGAAAGCCGTTTCGGAGGAGATTAACCACAAACACCGCGACACGAGGATTTTATATATTAGATATACAGTCGAACACAGAACCTCCTCCTTTTTTGAAGTCGGTTAATAACTTTATTTCTCACCGCAAATGACAAAAATATTTACAAATATTTTAGGTGAATTATATTATCATGTCGTCATGGTGCCCGTGTAGGTTCAAAGACCAATGTTACAGGTCACCAGGCCACCATTGTTTACAGAAAATATTACACTTAGACAATGATACTCCAAGGATTTGAATAGTAATAGTGTGTGTGTTTTCGTACAACGATATTAAATACCCTAGATACCACGGGCGCTTAAAATGTGACCCAATCAAGAAGTGCTTGAATTCCACTCAAGCACTTCTTGATTCACAGTCACGCGTGGACCGTTGAAAAGTCAAAATGCAGCAGAGCTCCGTAAAAAAAATGTGGAAGAAATACTTATAGTACGTTAAGTGTCGTTTTTTCGACAGGTATCTAATCAATCTTTGTTAATTTAAAGCATTTGAAGCAAATTTTGTTGTAATACTTACTATAAACTGATTTAATAGAAAATATTTGTGATATTCAAATGCATGGTCGGTAATATAGCCGTCTCTTTTTCTCGCGGTCCGTAACTGCTATTTTACTAACAGCGCATTCAGAATAGCGCATAGAGACAAAGAAATAAGGTCTATATTCTTCCACATATAGCAATAAGTCGTAAAATTTTACGATCTTGTATTTCGAACTCTTTGACGCATGCGATTTAATTAAGACCATATACAGTACGCATTAAAGTTGACTTTAAATATTTAAATAATGCCTTATATTGTTTTTGAACACGCGATCATGTTACGGAGCTCCGTGGATCGCCTAATGTACCTTTTGGACAGGTTTGGGCCACGATTTTGTTCGTGATGTTGTATCTAGGGTATTTAATGTTGTTGGTTTATTGGCTTTAGATTTGTGTACATTTTTTATGGCGACGACATTTATTGGTGAGAATAATGGTAGTGTCTGCATTGCACTCACCGTCCTGGTCGTAGTCCACGTCCCTGGTGAGGGCCAGCAGTTGATGGCACCTCTGATGCGCGTGGTGCAGGTAGTCGGATATCGCCTTGTGGTTGTCCAACACTTCTTCCTCGGCTCGCTGCAGCTCGTCTATCGCCTCGTGGAACGTGTACATTTCCGCTGACATGTCGCCCTCCTGCATTACACGTTGAAGTGAAACATTTATTTACGTAACCATATTCTTTTTGAAGCAAAACTTCTATTCGGACTGGGTGTAAATGGAAAAAGCCTATGGAAGGGATGAAACGGAAATGCGTCACACGACTATATATATACAGGGTGTTACAGAATTCCGAAATAAAATTTGTAGGTATGTATTCCGAAAATTTTTAGGTATCTGAACGGGGCGCAGGGGCGCCTGGGGGAGAGAGGGGGTCTGTTTAGGTAGTAGTAATCGTACACATTTATAGGGTTGTCATAGGCAGGCAATATTTTTATTAATTTAATTAGATAATAAAAGTGGTCTGAAAGGCGTCAAACTTTCGTAGGTAATTCTATACAAGGAACACAAACAAACCCTGAAGTTTTATTTCGGACTTTTGTTACACCCTGTATATATACATATAAATATTTTTTTATATATAAATGTGTGTATGTGTGCCCGAAACTCTTCCCGACGAGCATGAAAGTTGGAAGGTACACGCGACGCTACTGAAGTTCGACCGTTTCGGCCGCCGGTGAATATTGGCTACCATAAAATTCGTTATAAAATCGCAACGAATGAACCGATTTCGATGATTTATAAAGTATGTTAATTAATAAGTTTATTAGATCATTATACTGTGATTTTGAGTTGATTTGCTAACCTAGTAACGATCCTAATTACGGAGCTGTCAAAGTTCGTGTTTGGGCCTGAAGACAGCGGAAAATTTGTTTTCTAGTAAAATTTTCTTTTGATTCATTGAATGTAGCAGATCTTGTACAATACTTAAAATAACAGAAGAAAAAGCTTTCAACAAGTAAAATTTAATAAAATAAAATTTCAATTCACTTCAAAGAACGCTATGGTATTAGGTATTCTCGTGTTTATAGTCTGTCCATTCGTTTATTATCTTTTTGACAGATCGATCGAAGTAAAAATAGTGACACCCTATCACATAACTCGTTCGATTTAAAGCTATAATCGATATTATGCTGTAACATTGTTTAATCGATTATAAGTATAGAAATTATTTTAGTTATCAAAAATACTGGTGTTTAATAAATCATTACAAAATCTCATTAGATTTATTATTTGTACCTAGTACAAATATTTGTGTGATGAGCACGAGTAGTTGTTCTGTGTCTGGGTATGATTTATCTATAATATGCTTACAGCTTTTTATGTTTGTTTATCCTAATACTACTACTCTGTACAATAGATAATAGATTTATTGATTATAATTAATAATTTCATTTAAAAAAAGGTTTATAAAAAACTATATCTTTGACTTTTTACTCATTTATTTCTATCGATTATTTGTAATCTGTGGCTCAATCTTAGTAATCATTATGTGTGGCACATCACTAAGTGGGCGGTACCCTTCCATGAAGTACAATATTAATTGTATGACATTTTAACGTAAACAATACAAAATCTCATGTAGTGTTGTGGCAGATGTTAGTGTCTAATAATGGTGGATTATTAGTGTTCGGGAACATGCACAAGTGTTGGCAAGTGAAACAAAATAGCTGAAAGTGTCTTTTGACGTTCCCTCAAAAAGTCCACAGGGAGGTTCCAGTAAATCCCCACACTTTTACTGAAACATGGGTAAAGGGGGATTGACTTGACTGCCACTTACTTTGACTTGACTTATTACTTTGACCACTAGTACTATAGTATTTGTATATCTACATTTAACACTTGACATTGGCTAAATGCACCAGCCGTGCGAAGCCATTTAGAAAAAAAAAAGACTATAGTGTATGTAAATGTAGTGTTGTATACTTACTAGTGGTGTAACGAATGTCATTTTGTGAACATTGAATGAATACGATAATTTAGTTTTTTTAAAATTGGCGCCAATTGTCTATGGCTTGGTGGCAGTCTCGTTCGAATTGCCGAGTTGATATGAACTCATCCGACTGAAGTGTCATTCCGTAAACAAAACAAGTGAATTTTGAGGTTAATGATTGTGAGTGGTAATAGTGATTTATTAACATGAGTAAATCGAATTCTAGTGAAACATGGACTTATTTCACACTTTGCGATGCTGAACGAGCTAAATGCAAACTGTGTAACAATGAATATTCAAGGAAATCAGAACTACAACTTTTTCAAATTGTTTTTTTCTAATATTCATATTCGCAAAACATTCGCAGAGATTTTGCGAATGCGAATGTGAATGTGAATATTCAAAATATGCGAATATTCGCGAATGCGAATGTGAATATTCGTTACATCACCAATACTCACGTTGAGCGACCGTAGATGCGCGAGGTCGTCGTGCGCGGGCTCCATGTCCACGTCGGCCAGCGGGGACTCCGCGCGCCGCGTGTCGGAAGTACCCAGCTCTTTCACCCTACAAAAACACATTCATCATCAGTACATAGTATAAAACAAAGTCGCTTCCCGCTGTCTGTCCCTATGTATGCTTAGATCTTTAAAACTACGCAATGGATTTTGATGCGATTTTATTTTAATAGATAGAGTGATTCAAGAGGAAGGTTTATATGTATAATACATGCATAATATAATAGAGAAACACTGATAATTTTAGAGGTTTTTAATGTAAGGTCGTAAATAAACACATTTTTTGCGCTTACATCGCAAACGCTGGCTGAACCCTACGAGATAGATCAAAATAATGTACTACGGTATTGTACACCTTAAAAAGGTCTACAAAAAAGTCCGGGATGGTATATGTCCATCTCTAAGGGATAACCCACAATAACCATTTTTTATCCTATACTTTTTACGAGTACTAATGAGATTATTTACGAAGCGATTTTCAGAAATATAACCTTTATCCTTATCCAATTAGTACCTTAAATACATTTTGCATTTAATATAGACCAATTTCGCATGTAATTTAAATGAATATTTTCGCAGATATTATAAATTTAAAATGCAAGGACATAGCGGTTCCGCCGCTACCGGGTGGGGGGGGGGGGGGGGGGGGGGCTTGTCGGCGCGTGCCTATTGTAATTAGGTATTAGAAGAATGTCATTGTGTATAATAAAGCCTGAGAACAAAAACTATAGTCTACACTACAGCTCTACACCGAAGCGAAGCGAGGGCGGGCCACTAGTCTATATATAATTATAAAATGGTATGAAAGTCGAATCTGTAAATTGAATATTTTTTTAAAAGAATACTTGGGGTGTGATCTAACATCGATACCGAAGCCAAAAATATAGTTTTTAGAATTTTTGTCTGTTTGCCTGTATGTATGTCCGGGATAAACTCAAAAAGCACGAATATTATTAAGAAGTCGGGTCAACGTATAGGCTACCTATTATCACGCTATCACCTACGGGGAACGAGCAGTGAACCTTTATTTCTAACTAACTCCACGCGTACGAAGTCGCGAGCGGCCGCTAATATCTCTTATCTATTAGACAAGTCCGTCTGTCCGTGGTGCTGTTTCAGCGGCCAAACCGTAAGAGATAAATAAAGAGAATGTTTAAGTTACAAGTTAAGAATAGTCTGATAACCGGATTTGAGTAACGTAGCACTTCCGGTTTTCGATTTTGATTTCTATTTCAAACGAAACCACACAAATTCTCCGAAGTTCTCAATTAATTAAATACATTTTTTTTTGGTGAACATTTGGTTCACTGGTTTGCTAGTCATATATATTTAATCGTTGTATTTAACTTTAATCGTACATCCTAAACAGTAGAACTCGGCAGTTTTTTATTTTAAAGTCTTAATTTTTATATCATTTACATTTGTAATGGAAAGTGACTTCATGAGTTATCTCATATTGAAGCAACGATATTAAATACTCTAGATACTCCAATACGAACAAAATCGTGCTCGAAACCTGTCCAAAAGGTACATTGGACGATCCACGCAGCTCTGTAAGATGATCGCGTAGTCCGAAACAATATAAGTTCTTATTTAAACATTGAAAGTCACCTTCAATGCATACTGTATAAGGTCTTAATTAAAATGCATGCGTTCAAGAATAATGACAGTTCGAAATGCAAGCACATAAAATTTACGACTTATTCTATATGCGCAAGAATATAGACGTTATTTATTTGACTCTATGCGCAATTCTGAATGCGCTGTTAGCAATATAGCAGGCAGCAAGGAGACGGCTATACTAATACCGACCATGCATTTAAATATCACAAATATTCAGTTTTTAATAAGTATTAGAACAAAATTTTCTCCAAATGAATTGATTAACAAACAATAATTAGATACCTGACGAAAAACAAAACTTTTCATACTATAAGTATTTCTTTCACGGAGCTCTGCGGCATTTTGACTTTTCAACGGTCCGCGCGTGACGGTGAACCAAGAAGTACTTGAGTGGAGTTTAAGCACTTCTTGATTGGGACACATTTTAAACAGACGTGGTGTATCTAGGGTATTTGATATCGTTGCTTGGCAAATATAGTTACCTGTCAGCATATCGCAACGTGTTGAGCGAGTGCTCACACGAGGACATAGCCGGGGATATCATGGCGATCATGCAGGTGCGGGACTTGTCCCCGATGAAGGAGTCCCGCAGTACTTGGGTCAGTTTGGACACGCGGAAGGGCAGGTGGTTGTTGCCCTTCATGCCCAAAGCTCGGATGCACTCTTTGAGGGCCAGCAGGGATTTGTTGATTTCGGCGCTTTCCATGCCTGAATATAAATAAAAATTAATAAATAAATATTTCCAACACACACCAATTAGCGTAGCCTCAAAGTAAGCACTGTAAGACTTGTGTTATGGGATACTAGGGTAACGGATAGAATACATACAATGTACATGTATAAGTATATTTATATAGAAATAAATATTAAACATCCATGGCTGGAGTACAAATGCTCGTATTCATCACCCAAACATCTGCCCCCACCGGGATTCAAAGCCGGGACCTCTTGAGTCGCTATACTGCTGAATTGTTCCGAAATATACTGGCCAGTGCTCTGACGTCATTAATCAACGAATATTAAAAATAGTGCGAATAAAGAAGATTTTTTATTCGTCTCATCAATTAAAAGGAATTCTTTTTGTTCGGATGCCATTATTGTGCTTTAAATAAAAAATAAATAAAATTCGAATGCATCTCACGCACGCTCGGTCATACGTCATATTCGTTTTCCCGGTAAAAATATGGTAGCATACCAGTACAATATGGCGTCGGATTCGTGACGTCATTACCACTGGCCAGTATACAGATAGTACAAGCCACGAAGATGCGCTCCACCAATTTTTGGTTGAAGGAAATCAGTGATAAAAAGATGATTAGATTATTATTATATTATTATTTATTATTATCATAGATAATTAGTGTGTACCGATAATAACACTTAACAATAGGGGTGATGACGGGGTACAGTAAACGAAATTCTATTTAGTCCGTCAGTTAGATGATCACAAAATAATGGACACGTATTTTTTCTTTGGGCAATCAACCAAAAAATGACAAAGTTATAGCGCGTCAAAGTTTGGGAGTAGGGGCTCGTGACGTCACTTTTGAGTGAATTTTCACTTATGAGTGTACTCAAACGTGACGTCACGCGACTTTTCAAATCAATATATCTCTGCAATATTTATATTATGTGAAAAAAGAAAAAATACGTGTAATACTTTTTGATAATCTACCTGATAAACGAAGAAAAAAAAATAGTCATCATCCCTATTGACGGAAGCTGGCACACATTTACTATAAACGGTTAGAAGGAATACTGGGGTGCGTCTTCGTGGATTACACTATCTGTACTGATGTATATTTCGGAATACCCCCTCTATTTCTATTTTGTTGGTAGCTTTTTTCGAGACAATGTGCGGTTTAAAGGCCAACTTCATGATGTTACTTTTATGTTACAGTGATACGCGCGCATCTTAAAATTTCACTCTCATATTTTTTTCATAACGCGCGTAAAGAAGTAAAACTTCAAAAACTTCTGTAACGGCCGGTGTTCGGATGGGTGACCAACATGTTGTGGTGATACGCACGCGTAAATATCGAGCAGTTCGATATGGCATACGGGTTGTAATTGTAAGTAAACAAGTTCGGTCGACAATCGTGAAAGTCAAGCAACTTCCGCAACGGCCGGTTTTCGGATGGGTGTGGGGCCGTACAAGTATTACGCAAGCACTATAGGGGGGCAGGGGGGTTTTTGAAGTTATACTTCTTTAGGCGCGTTATGAAAAAATGAGGCGAGTGAAATTTTAAGATGCGCGCGCATCACTGTAACACAAAATTTTAAGCTTTAGCGACCAACTTCATGCGTTACTTTTGTGTTTACCGCACATTAAGAAAATCTACCAACAAAATAGAATCTCTATTTAGTGGGTGCTAACGACTGCATTGTGAAGGCCTATCAAAAGTATTTATTAATCTGGAACAACGGAACCAAAGCGCGATTCAGGAGACTACAGCGCCATCTCTTGACCATTGGTGTAGTAGAACCAAAAACCACATCTTTATTTTTTGTAATAAAGTAACAGTTATAGGTATTCATATTTATAATATTTATCCACATGTTTCTAGTTTGTATATTCGGAATACGTGTTTGAGTTTCATACAAGTACAAATCACATATGTTCTAATAAATTATATTCAGTAGCGATTTTAATTGAATATTTTGATTATTTATTTATTTTTTCAAATTAAAACTGAACTTTATTGACTGTGTCCTTTTCCAGACTTTTTATTAATTTATTGTAATTAATTATTTGCATGCAATTAAAAACTAATTTTAAACGATGCCAAAGAAGGATAACTTCTCACGCGCCTACATAAGTACACGCACCCATTTTTTTGCTTTGTTTTTTTGACGACAGGAGGGGTGGGGGGTCGAGATAGTGATTACGTCAGCATCATGGATTCGGGTGTCTCTGACTGAAGACTGTTAATTGGAATTAATATGTATACAATAAAATCGAAAGAAGTTTGTTTTACTCATAATAGTACTTAATAAGATTATAATATTTGTACCTTACTCTATGTTGAATACTGTGTCAATAAAGTTTGTTTAAATGAATATTATGTGCGTTAAAGTCCTCTATCCTAAGTTCGAGTTGGGTCGACAATCGTGAAAGTCAAGCAACTTCCGCAACGGCCAATGTTAGGATGGGTGACCAACATGTTGTGGTGATACGCACGCATAGATATCGAGTAGTACTATATGGCACCGGTTGTAAGTAAACGAGTTCGGTCGACAATCGTGAAAGTCAAGCAACTTCCGCAACGGCCGGTGTTAGGATGGGTGACCAACATGTTGTGGTGATACGCACGCATAGATATCGAGTAGTACTATATGGCACCGGTTGTAAGTAAACGAGTTCGGTCGACAATAGGGAAAGTGAAGCAACTTTCGCAACGGCCGGTGTTAGGATGGGTGACCAACATGTTGTGGTGATACGCACGCGTAAATATCAAGCAGTTCGATATGGCACACGGGTTGTAATTGTAAGTAAACAAGTTCGGTCGACAATCGTGAAAGTCAAGCAACTTCCGTAACGGCCGGTGTTCGGATGGGTGACCAACATGTTGTGGTGATACGCACGCGTAAATATCAAGCAGTTCGATATGGCACACGGGTTGTAATTGTAAGTAAACAAGTTCGGTCGACAATCGTGAAAGTGAAGCAACTTCCGCAACGGCCGGTTTTCGGATGGGTGACCAATACTCACGCGTCTGCCTGTTGGCCGAGGAGGTGTCGGCGCCGCGCTCGTTGCCCGCCAGGTCGATGAGCGAGAACTTCCCGTGGACGCGGTGCATGCCCGGCGATCGGACCACGATTTGGAACACGGCGTGAGATCGGGACGAGTTCGAGTTCGCTGACGTCTGAAAATGAACATATATATTTTTTTTTTATTTATTAAAAGGCTTACCAACAATTGTAACACTTAAGCAATTACAATTATACACACGGAGACACTTATATCAGTGTTACAAATAATTATAGGTAAACACCACATATACCATATCTATATCAAACAGTTTATGTTAAAATTTTACCTAACATACCTTAACTTATATGTTATTTTGTCCAAAAAAGGGTCATTACAAAAACAAAGGATCTAAAATTAAAAATAAACTTCTCGGGCACTCAGTCCGTCAAGTTCCTACTAATGGCTGATGTTATTGTACTGGGACTATCAAAGTGTAAATCAATTTTATGACTAAAACCGTTCAAAATTTTACAAAATCTCGCATAAGGCGAGTTAGCGCCTAAAACAGTTCTTCTTAAAGGAGGGCAGAATGGCGTGACCGTATCTTTTAGGTTGCTACTAGAGTCCGACCGAAACTGGTTTTCCGGCCGAAACCGAATATTCGGCCGCGGCTTCAATTTCGGCCGAAACCGAAACTCACGTGGTCAAGATTAAAATTCTTTAAAATACTGAAATTTGGTGCATTTTATCCATTATTGAGCATTAATTGGGGCATGAAATGGAAACACAGTATATTAATTTTGTTGTAGGTAATCAATTAATCATTTATTAAATATAATATAAAAAAAATATTTATTATATTTTTATTATTTTTTCAAATTAAGTTCTCATAGCAAAATTTTTATCAGTTATCAATAATCAATTCACAAATTGTTACTGTTTCATTAAATGCCCATTGGTATTTTGAAATATTATTAATTAATACTTTCGTTTGTATTTGTACTTACAAGAATCTTCAATCTCTTTTATCTCAATATAGGAAACTGCACTTCTCGATATAGGATATGGACTGCTGTGCGAGAAACGAAGTACAGCGATCGTGCACGACAACTTTCGAAATCAGTTGCGGTTCGGCAAGTTTCGGCCAATTTTGGCCGAAACCGAAATTGCCGCCGAAACTTAATTTTTGGCCGAAACTCGGCCGAAACCGAAACCGAACTTTCGGTCGGACACTTTGCAACTATCATCAGCCTCTTAATGTCCCCACTGCTGGGGCACAGGCCTTCCCTATGGATGCGGGCCCAGTGCGGATTGGCGGGTGCTAACGACTGCAGATGCAACCGGGACCAACGGCTTAACGTGCCTTCCGAAGCACGGAGGAACTCGAGATAGAAATTTTTGGTCACCCATCCAATGACCGACCACTGCGAAAGTTGCTTAACTACAACGATCGCAGCCGAACGCGCTAACCACCTGTGCCATCGAGCTCCTCGAGCAACCAAACCTAAAAATTAAAACAAAAACCTTCGTGATCGAGTGGTTTGTACGCCAGGTTTCAAGGTGTCGCCTACTAGAGAGGTCCCGGGTTCGAATCCCGGTGGGGGCAGATGTTTGTATGATAAATACGAGCATTTGTACTCCAATCATAATAATAAAAAAATAAATCATGGATGTATATGTATATCTATATATATATACGTATATATTTATCAGTATATGTATTCTATCCGTGGCCCTAGTATCCCATAAGACAAGCCTACAGTGCTTACTTTGAGGCTAGACTAATTGGTGTGTTTAAAAAAAAACAAAAATTTACTATCTCGAGCTCTCCTCCGTGCTTCAGAAGGCACGTTAAGCCGTTGGTCCAGGCTGCATCAGCAGTCGTTAGCACCCACCAATCCGCTCTGGGCCCTGGTGGGTCATGGCCCTATCTCCCTATTCCATCCATAGATTCAGGCCTGTGCCCTAACAGTGGGGACATTTATAGGCTGTTGAAGAGTATACGCACCTGGCCCGATGTCCTGGCAGCGTTGCCGTGGTGGATGAGCTTCAGCACTTCGTCCACATTGTCGACCACCTTCTCGGTGAGGCCGACGATCTGGACTTGCTGCTTGCCGTCTTCTAGGACTCGCAGCTTCGCCTTGTCGGCCAGGAGATCGAACACCTGAGAAAAAGACACATATTAGTTAAACCAACACGTAAACAATAAATACATAATTTTAAAATAATATTTATTTATTTATTGTCACATAAATTGATTACATACTTGAATATAATGTAGTCCCTGACCCCTATAATAGGATAAAGACATTACTAGCAATCAGAATGCGATCAGAATGAATAAGTGCGTGTGAGTGTGTGAATATGTGTGTGAATGTGTGTGTGTGTGTGTGCGTGTGTGTGAGAGAGAGAGAGTGAGTAAATGTGCGAACAAGGCAAAAAGTGGTGAACATAGTTTAACAGCAAAGATTCAGTATAATCATAGTTAAGGTTAAGTGACCATTTTCTTATTTTAGTTTTCGCGTCTTTAATAGGTAAAATAACTAACGATTTAAGAAGAATCGGAAAGACGGTTCGTGGCAGAAGATGGAAAATCAAACAGCTCGTTTCGTTGAAATACTAAGTAATCAAGTAATCATTCTTGTTATTTACATTTTAGAATTAAAATAACTGATTTTCTTAGCTGATATCAATGTGCGTTAAATGTGAATTGTGAAGTCTGTGTGTTCTAGGCCTATCAGTTTCGAGTGATGTGCGCTAATCATTCACTTATTTATCTTTTTTACATTTTTTCCGTTTACAAACACAATTTAAGAATTGTTGAATTCTTAAATTGTGTTTGTAAACGGAAAAAATGATTTAAAACTATTCATGATTTAAGTTGTGAAACATTCGGAATATTAATGACCTACATCTCATATAATATTTTAGCTTCTTTAACTGTTTCTTCTAAAATTAAACGGTATTATTCCTTAAAATTTGAGTATAATATACAGCATAACTTTGTATAACAGTAAAATCAGCGAGTACATACTTTGGTCACGTAGCTGTATCTAAGAAATGCATCATAATACGTCACGTATTATGTATTCAAGAACACATATCTTCATAATAAATCAATGCTCATCACGAATTGAACAGTATCAATTGTTATTGCTTATCCTAGTATCATTGTGTAGGGTCACACTACATTATGGTCCTTCGAGCCGGATGATGAGGTTAATGTTAATCTCCACGCATTCAACAGTGTCAATCGATTTTCTTTATGTAGGAGTCAACCAACGATATTAAATACGTCTGCTCAAAATGTGTCCTAATCAAGAAGTGCTTGAACTCCACTCAAGCACTTCTTGGTTCACAGTCACGCGCAAACCGTTAAAAAGTGAACATGCCGCGAAGCTCTGTGAAATAATGCGAAAAAAATACTTGTAGTACGTAAAGTGTCGTTTTTTCGACAGGTATCTAATCAATGTTTGTTAATTTAACGCATTTAAAGCAAATTTTGTTCTAATACTTACTAGAAACTGATTTATTAGAAAATATTTGTGATATTCAAATGCATGGTCGGTTATATAGCCGTCTTTTTCCTAGCGTTCCGTATCTGCTATATTGCTAACAGCGCATTCAGAATTGCGCGTATAGTCAAAGAAATAAGGTTTATATTTTTCCGCATATAGCAAAAAGTCGTAAAATTTAACGAGCCTGCATTTCGAACTGTCATAACTCTTCGACGCATGCGTTTTAATTAAGACCTCATACAGTATGCATTAAAGGTGAATTTCAATGTTTAAATAATTCCTTATAGTGTTTCTGACAACGCGATCATCTTACGGAGCTCCATGGATCGTCCAATGTATTTTTAAGACAGGTTTCGGGCACGATTTTGTTCGTGTTGGTGTATCTAGGGTATTAAATATCATTGGAGTCAACCTACAATATCATAAATAAACTTCCGGACACATCTATCGGCCGACTTAGTGTTATAAGTTTCAACGGTCTGTACCAAAAATATAATTAAGACAGATTCAGCAATAATAATATTATTTCAGAAACACACGAAAAAGGTGATTCAATAAATCAGCTTCAAAGCTTTATTAAACTTTTCACTGAATGTAACATTATTTTTTTATAATGTGACATTTATTTTTTAGAATGTAACATTCAATTAATTTGCTTCGAAACTACGTAAAACTTTTTGCTGAATGTAACACAACATTGATTTTTAGGTAGGTACACTTGCGGAAAGACCCGCTCTGTCACCCATAATGCCAGAATCGCTTGCGGTAGCGGCGTAGTAAAAATTCATTCATAGACATGACGCCCGGATTGGCGCGTCCGACGCGAAGGCGGGGAGTAGTAAAAACTACTGTAGAAAACCGTTCAAAGCATTTTGTTCGCCAAGTGATAGAGCGCAAAATTCCGCAATTTTACCATTAAAACCATACTAGCAAACCAGAGAACCAAATGTTCACCAAAAAAAAAATGTATTTAATTAATTGAGAACTTCGGAGATTTTGTGTGGTTTCGTTTGAAATAGAAATCACGTGATTTCTCGAAAACCGGAAGTGCTACGTTACTCACATCCGCTTTTTAGTCTTATCTGACTATTCTTAACTTATAACTTAAACATTCTCTATATCTATCTCTTACGGTTTGGCCGCTGAAACAGCACCACGGACGGACGGACGGACTTGTCTAATAGATAAGAGATATGTAAAAACTTTAAATGCTAGGTGGTGCCGACAGATGTGTAAAAGATTATGATAGATCAGGTTACCTTGCCGGAGTAGATCTCGAAGAAGGACGCGGAGACGATGAGATTGAGCGGCTTATACTTCGGTGATTTGAGGTACGTGAATACGTCTCTCGCTGCCATCGCGTAGATTCCCTTCTTGCAGTCCTGCGTCTTGCCCTGATAACAAACATTCTTAAATCTAAAAAAAAATACTAGAAAAAAATCCACGCGGACCAGGTAGCAGACGGGACTCGAACCAGCACCCTTCGCTATCCGGGCGAATGCAATGACTATTATGCACCGCGGCCCTGACGGCCGTATCAAATTTTCTCTAGCCTTAGGCTGCAAGGCAGCGCCATCTCTTCGCATTGTAGATAACCAACAATGTCTAAAGAACACCTTTACAAGTATTAAACATTTGAAAGGAGAAATAGCAATTATAGTTATATTTTTGGATTTTTTTTTAAGCATTTCAATTAAATGCTTAAAAAATTCAAAAATTTAACAACATTCTTATCTCATTTTATAGACACACTAGTGTCGATTTTGACATAAATTCTCTAAACCTAATGCTTTTCAGTTGCGAGAAATTCGACAGTTTCAACTTGAAATGTTGTCGATTTTACTTAAAAGGATTAACTTTGTAGATCAATAATTTAGATAATATCCTTCCATTCGATATAATTTAGTCACACCAAATATACAAGAAACTATTCTTCTTAGGAATATCAAAATTTGGTTCTTTTTTTGTGATTGGGTTACCATATCATGTCTCTTGTGTAAATATTGATTTATTTTGTGTCATATCTGAATATCTATATATATATATATAAAACTCAAAGGTGACTGACTGACATAGTGATCTATCAACGCACAGCCCAAACCACTAGACGGATCGGGTTGAAATTTGGCATGCAGGTAGATGTTATGACGTAGGCATCCGCTAAGAAAGGATTTTGATCAATTCTACCCCCAAGGGGTAAAATAGGGAATGAAAGTTTGTATGAAACTTTGTCAATTTTAAACCGATCGGGCTGAGACTTTGCATGTAGGTATAAGAAGAATCATAGATGAATGTCATTGTGTATAATACAAGCCTGAGAACAAAAACTGTAGTCTACACTTCAGCTCTATACCGAAGCGAAGCGAGGGCGGGCCGCTAGTTTTAAATAATTATTCATATTAAATTGTTGTATTTGTGCTGTATGCACTATACTGGCACCACAACCAGAACATTTACAGGAACTCTGGAGTATTTTTTAAAATGTGTCTTATTAGTATAACGGTAAGATCAATAACACGCACCTGGAAGTCTCCGCCCATAGTATGCGTCTTGCCGGAACCGGTCTGTCCGTAGGCGAAGCACGTCGCCATACCGCCTTCGAATATCGTCTGCACCAGGGGTTTAGCCGTGTATCTACGCAATAGAAACATAACAAATGTAAAGAAAATATAACTAGAAAAAATTCCACGCGGACCAGGCAGCAGACGGGACTCGAACCCGCACCCTTCGCATCCGGGCGAATGCACTGACCAATTATGCTACCGCGGCCATCACGGACCGCGTCGAGATTCTTCTAGCCATTCTTATGCTGCAAGGCAGCGCCATCTCTTCGCATTATAGGTAACCCACAATGTCAAATGAATACTTTTTACAAGTATTAAACATTTGAAAGAAGAAATAGCAATTATAGTTATAATTTTTATTATTTTAAAGCATGTAACTGCTTGATGTTTAAATCTAAAGAAAATATAACTAGAAAAAATTCCACGCGGACCAGGCAGCAGACGGGACTCGAGCGAACTCGGCGAAGGGACATGCTATAAAACTAATAAAAATTATAATAACAAATATATTTTCATCATCAGCCTATTAGTCCACACTGCTGTGGCACAGCCCACAGACCTTCCTTTTCGAAGTGAAACTTCTTTACGCACGCTTGACTAGGGAAGTAAGCTGGCGAACGCGTTACGAAAAGTGTGATCGGGCGAGGCGAACGGGAGTTGAGTGGAGGATATAAGCAAGAGCAAACAGTGCGCGCGCACATTTTCTTTCTCTCTTTCTCTTATAGCTAGTAAATGAAATATGTACAGTGGTCAGTCTTTGGATGGGTGACCAAAAACCTTTTATTTCGAGTTCCACCGTGCTTTAGAAGGCACGTTAAACCGTTGGTCCCGGCTGCATCTGCAGTCGTTAGTATCCGCCAATCCGCACTGGGACCGCGTGGTGGGTCACGGCCCAATCTCCCTATTCCATCCATAGGGAAGGCTTGTGCCGCAGCAGTAATAGGGGACAATAATAGGCTGATGATGATGATGAAGTCCTCTTTCTCTTTTTCTAATAACAACAACTTAGACGACCTCCGTGGCCGAGTGGTTTGTACGCCGGGTTTCGTGGTGTCGCCAACTCGAGAGGTCCCGGGTTCAAATCCCGGTGGGGGCAGATGTTTGTGTGATGAATACGAACATTTGTACTCCAGTCATGGACGTTCAATACGTATTTCTATAAAAATATACTTATATATGTACAGTATATGTATTCTATCCGTTACCCTAGTATCCCATAACACAAGCCTTTCAGTGCTTACTTTGGGGCTAGGCTAATTGGTGTGTGTTAGACAAAGACCGATATGGGTACCCGTATAGGTGTTTTAATCGGTTTTATTTTAACGATTAGGTTAAAAACCTGACATAAAGGGTTAACCTGTATAATTGATTAATAACCTCTATATAAACCGGTTCTTACGTAGAGTCCTTTTTTGTTCAAAATTCATACATAGAAAGAGACACACGGCTAGCTAGCTGTGATTGGCCCTTCAGTGAAGTGACGAGTTATAACTTGACGTGACCTCGTCGTCATTACACCAAGCTAAATTGATTCTTTGGTGCTTTCTCTTAAAGTTTTTAATTACAATGCCACGGAATGGCGGAGCTCGTAGATGGAAAGTACTCTACACTAGTCTACATCTACAGTCTCTTTCATACGGGTTAATCAGCAATATTCCTAGGATTAATCCATATTACAATAAACAGTTTACTGCATAAGGATTAGTCAATATACAGGGTTTTGGTCTTACCGGTTAACCTTTTAAGCCGATTAATGGGTCCTTGGTGTTAGAAAAAATGTGTGCGTGTACTAGTGTACACACGTAAGAAGTGAAACTTCTTTATGGCCTTATTTTTTTCGAAAAATGATCTACATGCAACTTTCCAGAAATATAGATATAGGCGTGCGCCTTACCTTGTGTGAAACACGAATATTTGCTGTCGATACTTTTTTTTTTTTAAAGTTGACAGAAGAAGCAATTGTTCGGATGAGGTAAATAGTGCTCTTTTAAAAAAAGATGGCGCGTAACCAAAAAACGTGACGCGTAACCGAAAAAAATGTGACGATAAATTTTTTTCTAACGCCGATAAAGAAGTTTCACTTCAAAAAAAAAACTATATAAAGAGAGCGTAAAATGAAACCTCACTTGTAAACCACTTCGTTGGTGCAGGAGTCGTCGAAGGCGTAGTCGAAGCGGAACTTCTGGTTTTCCAGGTACTTGGTGAGGTCCACCTTGTTCTTGGGCTCGTGCACTATCATCTGGTCCCTGGTGGGCACGCTGATCACGTCCACCTGAAAACAATAACAATCTAATATATAAAACTAGCAAACCAGTGAACCAAATGTTCACCAAAACCTGATTTAAAAAAAAATGTATTTAATTAATTGAGAACTTCGGAGATTTTGTGTGGTTTCGTTTGAAATTCGTGATTTCTCGAAAACCGGAAGTGCTACGTTACTCAAATCCGGTTTGTAGTCTTATCAGACTATTCTTAACTTATAACCTAAATATTCTCTTTATCTATCTCTTACGGTTTGGCCGCTGAAACAGCACCACAGACGGACGGACAGACTTGTCTAATAGATAAGAGATTCTCGTGTCGCGGTGTTTGTGGTTAAACTCCTCCGAAACGGCTCGACCGATTTTCGTGAAATTTTATATGCATATTCAGTAGGTCTGAGAATCGGATGTAATCTATTTTTCATCCCCCTAAATGTTAAGGGGATTACCCTTAACATTTAGGGGGATGAATGATGATGACCCCTAAATTTTTTTGTTTCAATTATAGATAATTTTTTTTTTGAATTTTTTTATGATACATCATACAAAGATACATATATCCCTAAATTTTCAACTTTCTACCACCAACCCCTATTTTTTTATGGCGGTATGAAGTTCGCTGGGTCAGCTAGTCTTATTACATATTTTTTATAGCATGTAACTGCTCGATGTATAAATCTAAATAAAATATTACTAGAGAAAATTCCGAATGCACTGACCATGATTATGCTACCTGCTTATTCGACACGGCCGTCAGGGCCCTCTAGCTCTGTTAATACTGATTTTGCGTTCAAAGAAAAATTAAATATACCACCACCTAAAAAAATAAATACCAAGGTGACAGATGACTGCTTGGTGAAATAGGAAATTTGCCGGACCTATTTATAAATAATAAAAAATATACGTGTTGCACTCGGGGACTGCCGCGGTAAAGCTATTACATAGCATTATTCATCAACTTATGCAATTATAATTACTTATTTATTTTATTTATGCAGATTTTATTTTCTTTGATATTGATTCAAGTTTTTTATTTGATAATAGATGGCGAGGCAGGTATTATGATATTTTATTGGGCAAGCACAGCAAACAACAGCATTGCCCGGCGACAAAAAATACGAGTGCCGGAATTGTACCGACGACCGCGGTGATGCGTCGAACGTTGGTCCCGTGGCAAAAATTTAACACACTGCGCTGTTTAGATCGATACTGGAATGGCAAAAATTGGTACCATATGCACGCTTGTCAGCATATTTTCGTTACGGATTTTTTTGATTCGGTCGCCGCGCTCAAAGCCTGCGATAAAAGCTATGCAATAGCTTAAAAAAATATAAAAAAAAATTGGACACTGGTGGTCTGGGCTTGATCTTCCTATTCCATTCGTGGTGAAGGCCTTCAGATGTGGAGACATTGATAGGCTGATGGTGGTGATGATGATGATGGAATAGTTTATACTAGCAAACCAGTGAACCAAATGTTCACCACAAAAAAAAAAAAATGAGAACTTCGGAGATTTTGTGTGGTTTTATTTGAAATCGAAAACACGTGATTTCTCGAAAACCGGAAGTGCTACGTTACTCACATCCGGTTTGTAGTCATAAGACTATTCTTAACTTATAACTTAGACATTCTCTATATCTATCTCTTACGGTTTGGCCGCTGAAACAGCACCACGGACGGACGGACGGACTTGTCTAATAGATAAGAGATAGTTTACCTCCTTCTTGTTAAGTTCCTTCTTGTTGAGCGGCCGTTTCCTGACGCACACGGTGATCTGGTGGTCCTCGACGGGCTCGTTGCCGGTGAGGGGACGGAACTCGATGCTGCTCTGGTACTCGCGAATCATGGCTAAGAACTCCCAGTTAGGGTTGCCGGGGTCCATGTTCATTAGTGCTTCCTGGAAACATTAAACGTATTAACATTACGCCATTTGACTTAGTCTCATCGATATGCATAAAGGGTTTCGCTACCTTGTTATAGAATTAGAGATAACTTAATTTATTGATTAAATAAAGTCGGTTTACTGACGATAGTTGAACGTGACAACGTTTTTTTACAATGTACATAGTTTTTACAAGTATGAATGTGCACTTTTCACTGCACTTCACACTTGACGAAAACATTACATATTATTGTATAGCAGCTGTCCACGCGGACGTATCGCTCACTCAAGTAGGAGAGAGACAGGTGTCGAACGCTGCCGAACGCGGAGGCCGATTGTGCCTCTTTGTCGCTCGTTGCGCGCTCTCGCTTGCACTTCAAGCCTTAAATGGAACGCCTCAGAGCGAAGTAACGCCGCATGAGTGATGTTTTTTCGCGTGCAGTCGGCTCCATCGAATTATAAGACGTTGTCACGTCAAAAATTTATAGGGCGTGTTTGTTGGATAATGAGAAAAACGAAGAAAATTATTCATAGTATAAGTTTAAGATTCGTATTGACGATATTGCAAACCTTTTATTTTTGTTTAACCTGGTGTTAAGTAGTAATGATCGTAGAGTCCAAACACCAAGACGGTCTCCGAAGGTGCAACACCAGCCACATTCAACTGCACAGATATTTCTTCACGGGTCATTTGAAGTGACCTAGTTTGTAGAAAGGAGAGACCTGCTCCTCCTTGAGATCCACCTCACCTGATCTACATCCCTATTGATGTTAAGAGCCCTTTCACATTTTTTGCAAAAAAACGCAATTTTTGAACGCCTCGTTTACCCCCTTAGAAAAGATTTTGACTATTTCCAATAGAAGTAAACATTACAATTATTCTTTCTATTGTAACTTAATGTAGAATATTTGCAAATACTATTTTCTTTTTTTTGTACTGGTCGTTCTACTGCAGCTAGTTTACGGAAAAAAACGATAATATGAACAACTTCAAACGCCTAAATCTCTCAATAATGTTTAGAAATTAGATAAAATTAATTACTACTATATCAGAAATATGTTTTTGTTGTAACATAGATGTTTTTTTTTTATAATTAATGAGATGGAAAATCAAAATTCTAATACATTCAATTTTGATTTTCCATCTCATACGAGTTTTCCCAAAAAATAATGAAGGTTTACCTCGTATTTTGATATTGAATTAAATAGAATTACTACCAAAAACTTTCATAAACCTAATCTACCATCATTGAACTACTGAAATATGTATATATTATTATAATTAGTTCATTAACAATTATTTTATAAGACTCGGAACAACACCCGTAAAACGGGATATATACTAGTGCAAATCCACCTACGCGCCGATCAGTACGGCAGCGGCGCAATATTGTAAAAGGGCTCTTAAGTGGTGTCGGATGGCCCTGGCAGCTGCAGAACAAGCCGCCGTCAGCTGCGCAGCTGTTTCTGCACGGGTTCTAAAGTTTTCTATGTATTATAATGCATACCTTCTCCTCCTTGAGCTCGGCCTGGCGCTGGCGCCGCTTCTCGCGGTTCTCCTTGAGGCGCTCCACCTCCTTGACCACGTTGGAGCGCCGCACCGCGCCCGACGCCACCGCGTGCGGCACCGACACCGTGCTGGAGACACCTGCCGCCCTACCGCCGCCCGTAGTGCCACCTACCACGCCGCCCGCCGCGCCGGTGAACTGTGTACAGATCATCATCATCAGCCTATTAATGTCCCCACTGCTGGGGCACAGGCCTGAACCTATGGATGGAAAAGGGAGATTGGGGTTGCTTTCCAATTACAGCATTATTGCGCATTATGCGGCATAATGCCTAACGTTGAGTGTTCCAACTACAGCAACGCTTCGCACAATTGAGCACTCTCAAAAGTGATGCTTTCGTGTGATGCGTGCAATGGTACCAACTTAGAGACAGAAAATTAACAAGTGTTTTTTCTTTAAGTTGGCATTGATCGAAATGTTTTATTTATATGTTATCGTTAGTAATATTATTTATTGTTGAAAAATTATTAATGCTTTCGTTTCATTAAATAGTTTTTTTTAAATAATCAAAGTTCATTCAAACTGTTAAAAATAAATATAAGTATGGATGAAGGTACAAACATTGACTTTTTTTTTCAACACTGAACTTAGCGCACTCTGCTGGTGCATTTGAAAACTAATTCACGTTCCAATTAAGCATCAGCATAATTGGGCATTGTGCGGCACTGAGTCGCATTATGCTCTGTAATTGGAAAGCATACTGGGTCTTGACCCAACACACGGGCCCAGTGCGGATTGGCGGGTGTTAACGACTGCAGATGCAGCCGGGACCGACGGCTTAAAGTGCCTTCGGAAGCACGGAGGAACTCGAGATAGAAGATATTTGGTCACCCATCCACTGCGAAAGTTGCTTAACTTCAATTCAACGATCGCAGCCGACCGCGCTAACTGCCCGCGCCATCGAGCTACTCAAGTGTGTGTACAGATACCGGGATAATATACTCACACTGAGATGGGAAGTTAACAAGAAAAGATTCATTTTTATGATTCCGCGTTTTGCAAAACGCCGTCATCGTCCGTTTAGAAACGCTCGACGCAGGCAAATTGGCAACTCGTTCTATTGTTACAATTTCGGCATTGATTGTTATAGTTTATAAAAGGGTGACCATCATAAAACACAGGTTGGATTGAACAAATCAGGTACATATTCCAATAGGACTAACTTAAAATGGACGGGCCGCGGCGCCAGAGCTAAAACCAGCTCGGAAAAAGATCTTCCCCTTTAGCCTTCCAAAAGTCCTTTTAACACGTAGAATTCGCACTGTTTCAATATTTTTCTGTGACACAGAACCACTACTCGACGCCATTTTTCTTATTTTAATAAGCAGCACCACGCGTGGTGAGAAAAAGAACTAACTAAATACTTCAATTTGTGCGACAAATTGCATTTTGTAAACGGCGATTGAATTGCCTATCAAATGTTGTGGCATATTGTAAAGTGACAAGGCAATTTACATTTTGCCTTCGGCCTATTTTAAAACAGCGAACCTTTTTAAACAGACGACACCGTTTGTAAAACGTGGAAACATACAAATTGTCTGCGACATAACTAGATGAAATCTGAATCATAAAAGATAGAAAATATACACTAGAATAGGTACGCATCTATCCCCAAACCAATACATAAGAGTGCTTAGATGATTCTGTTTACCACTGCATAAGACATCATTAAAAGCAAAATGACATGAATTAACTAACCAATAAAACACTGCTCAGCTACAGTATCATACTGCTGCAATCAACTTAACTAAATGTCATAACAATATGCCATAAAATTACTTATGTTTCTGAACAGCTATAGAAAATAGTGAGCTATATGTTTACAGCTATGAAGAACTACGTGTGTATAGGGTTACATGTCATGATCTTAACGGCTACAGTAAATTACAGGTACGAGAGCACAGTGCAACAAGGACCTCTTTAGGATTGGCGTGGAGTCTACGTTGCAGGTGCGGCATGTACGGAGACTGCTGGAGCCCCTGCACCACGGACGCGGCGCTGGGGGTGCTGCCCGACCTGGAGCGCCCGCCTGACGCAGGCTAGCGGGGTGAGGAGCCAAGGGTATAAAGGAGTTGAGGAATTTGTTGCAGGATACGTTGGATTTGATGTCTACGTGTGGTTATTTCAATAAGCTAGAGAATACACGATGATATCGAATTGGCAAATAGCAATTCTTTCAACACTCTAATTTCACTCTTACTTTGACTGACTGACCGGAGTCCTTATCCACCAACTATTATTGTTTTCTTACAATTACTTCTGTTGGAGTTGTCAGAAAGAATCAGCTCATCGTCAGAGCTCACCCAAGAACATAAATATTGTACAGGTTATCAGCATCCACCAACAATTACATTTACCCAGTGCCACAACGCAAGAGCCGCGATCCTTGGCGAATGGCGGTTGCGCGTATGTTTTTGTCCGGTTCACCCGCACGGTTACGCGGATGCCAGTGCGTTGTCGTACCTATATTCAAGGGCGGATCCAGGGGGGGGGGGGTCATGGGTCATGGGGGTCATGACCCCCATGGGTTTGGTCCATCTGTACCCCTGGGCTGGGTACAGATGGACCAAACCCAGGGGGATTTTATTTAAGTACTTTCAATATTTAATATACCACGACTATATGACGCCCCCCTGGCGACAAAGCTGGCTATATGACCCCCCCCTGGCGCCAAAGCTGGATCCGCCCTTGCCTATATTCCCCATAGAAATTAACATCCACACGACCGCCATTCGCCGTGTTTCGTGGCTCGTGCGCAAGCATCGATTGTTATAGCATTCAGGAGGTCAGCGTCACCATCAGTCTACCTAGATGTCTACTAGCATACGCATTTGTTTCAAGACATCTACAAAAACATTAAAATCCTGGTGTAAATGTGACGATAGCAACCAATTAATATTGTTATTACCAAAGCAAAAAGAGCGCGAGGCATTTGATAATATACGGCGATCAGAAATAACAAAATGAAATCTAGCCAAACCAATCCCTGAATGCGGTAGGCACCCTATTTCGTGACCCTGGAGTTGGTCGTTCGTGTAAATAAAAGCTACTAGCAAACCAATGAACCAAATGTTCACCAAAACCTGATTTAAAAAAAAAAGTATTTAATTAATTGAGAACTTCGGAGATTTTGTGTGGTTTCGTTTGAAATTCGTAATTTCTCGAAAACCGGAAGTGCTACGTCACTCAAATCCGGTTTGTAGTCTTATCAGACTATTCTTAACTTATAACTTAAATATTCTCTTTATCTATCTCTTACGGTTTGGCCGCTGAAACAGCACCACAGACGGACGGACTTGTCTAATAGATAAGAGATTTTACACTGTAGTAATTATTGTTACCTGCTGCGTGACCCTAGAGTTAGGTTGGGGCTGCGGCGGAGGCTGCGGCTGCGGCGGCGGCACATTCTCAGCGCCGCCGCGCCGCCCCGTCGTGTCGCCGCCGTGCCCGTTCGTGTAACCACCCGCGTTCGACACCCGCATCTGGTTGTTGCGGGTCACGCGAGATGGCGCTGAAACGTACAAACACGACTTAGGTACTGCTATGAATATATCCTCCGTAAGAGCTGTCGTTTCACAGGACACCGGAACGATGCGATATGCTGATCTTTGTCTAAAACGCTCTTTGTCGGTGGCCGATGAAAAACAGTCGTTAACAAATATTCCGCTTCCAAACGCCATAGGCGGTTCAGGTCACATTCAGTTGGTCTTTATACTATACTTCAAGTAAGGGTGCGTAAATCATCCAGAAATGAGCGAGGTAGTTAAGTGATGCACGAAAATAAACATTAACTGCCTAATTCCAAGAGGCGGACCAAAATTAGTCAAGGTTTAAACCTAATGCTGTCTCCGTCTTCTTTTTAGCAAACAAAAGTGACAGCATCAGTTTTTTAACCAGGTCAAAGTTTTGTCATAAGGCGGTAAAAAGTTAATTATACCTCTTGATCGTTTCGTATGCAGTTTAACTACGTCGCATATTTCTGAGAAAGTAACTTCAAATCAAAGGCTAAATGCGTAAATGCTGATGCGATGTAGAGTTTATCGGTACCCGCAGAAGAAATCTAATTATGTCATAATCTCCTTTCCTAACACACAAAAAAGCTGTAAAATCGACTATTGTATTTACTTTTTGTTTACTTATGATCTAAACGCTCTCGAGTTTGTGAATCATACAGTGACGCAAGCGAGTCCATATCAAAAGCAAATAAGGTACGTGAAAACTTAAATGCGAACCGAACGGTGCACAAAGCGGACGCTACTCAAAATCTAAGTAGCCCAACCAAAATCCAAAGGTGCGCGTGCGAGCTTTCATTGTTCTTACTTGGCGTCTTCTCATCTTGTCGGTCCTCTTCTTTCAACTCCTCGACAGGGAGCTCCGTTGTTTCAAACGCCTCTACGGGTGTGTCTGCTGTGCTCGAGTCTGCCACCCGTCTTCGACATCTTAACCATGAACAACACATAACTGACGATCTCTTCAAACATTTATTTCAGATTCGTAAACTGATCGTCTTCAAGTAAGCAGGGTCAGAATTCTCGTACATTCTTTGTTTCTAAGTATTTCGGTCGTTCATCGCATATTATTGCTCTAGAATGTGTGTGAAATGACATGTACTCTTCAGTCTGAGCGATTGTTCGTAATGGCAGCGATCTGCGTTGGCGCAAGGCGATCCTGCGCCTGCGCCGCACGCCATATTAGGATCTCTTTCCGTAGTCAAGGCAATGAACCGTGACACACGCGAGCCGACTACGGTCGTGCGCGAAGACAAGATTGCATACCAGCCGAAGTCATTACCGAAAAACTTGTTCTTAGCACAATTTTAGTCCAAGACCTTGTGATAATTAAGTCTCACTGACATGACATTATTATGCGAATCACTGAGAGCCATCGAAGCGAGTTCTGATAATACATAAAGGCCTAACTTTTACTTTAAAATTAAAGGAAGAAATGACATGCTGTTTTGCTAACAAGAGCAATAGTTTGACTGAACCTTGTCTAGAAACCGTCATTGATCAATTACTACAACCGCCTGTTCCGATCAAACTAGAAATAACGTCGGTCATTAAGAGACATTGGATGTCTTTTGTGCCCCTTGTGCTTTGAAACTTTTATTGTGTGACGCGTATGGCACGGGTGGGCAGCGATCGATGGCAGGGTCAAAGTTAACTTGAACTTGTCGTTCGATGGACGGATAGAATGCATTGCACACATACCTAACATATTGAATTATTTTGAATCAATATGAAATTTCATTTATTATTCACAACTAACTACACGTAATATTTCTAGTTGGACATTATCTTCAAGTTGAGGTTATCACAAAGACGTAACAATAGGACACTATAATGATAAAATAAGTACAATTTTTCAGTACAAGTTCTTAGATTATAACAAAACATCACGCATATGGCATTCGAAAGACCAGATACTCCTTTGAAACACGATAGAACATCTTTGACATCGAGAAACACGGTAGTACATAATTTTTGACATCGAGCGCACAGCGGTATTGGCGGTGGGTGCCGCCATGTTCCCAGCTTATCAACACAACCGTTGTTAAGCAGACTAAAAATTTTAAACCTGTCCAAAGTATCGTATGAGAAACTGTATATTTCGATTGAAGGTGAAAAGTGTGTTTAACCCCTTTTCATAACCAACAGATCGTAGATCAAAGGATTTCAACAATAAAAACTCACAACAGACTTACCTACTCTTTTTCTTAAATCAATTGCAGTGATCTAACAATTATAATCATAATCAAAATCATTTATTCAGTTTAGGCTGTTACAAGCACATATGAATGTCTAGAAGCTACGCCATCGGTTCGAGAAGAACCGGCAAGAAACTCAGCAAGGGCTGTTTTTTTTCTCCCTGTTTTATCAATTAATTTGAAGACTCGTTAAGAATAGGGAATACAAATCAATATTTGATAAATAATAATTCTAATAATAGTACCATAATTTGAAACGGCTTATGAGTGTCATGGATAAAATATCGGACGATGGCACGGGCGCGATGAAAATGAAAGTCGATAGAGCGTGTCGGTACTAACAGACCAGTAAAACATTGACGTATTGATGCTGAATTATTGATATGAAAACACGTATACATATAACCAGGTTACAAGGTCACAGATCCATATCGAAAACAAATAGTTTATTTACGTATGAACCTTTGCCTTAATGGATTTCTATATTTGTGCGCAGCAGCGTAGAGTTCCTTGATGATAAAGTACTCAAAGCAATGGTCTTGTGGTTAAAGAGGAGAGATTTAAAAAATCTTCCAGTGCGGTTTGAAGTGCGCTGTCCACAAAATATTGCCATAAGTAGCACAGATAACATCGAAATAAACCGCCATTTAAATGTCTTATAACCGGCATTCGTAGGCCATGGATAAATTAGCAATAACCATTATACTATGAAACGAATTATAAAACCTGTTCTACTGAAGATTATTTTTCATATACTTAATGGTTCTATTTTTTGTCTAATTACTAGGCAAATCCTTCCTTCAAATGTATGATGACACAATTGAAACATCAAATAAAAACTATTTTTTTAATAAAGTTAGGAGTTAGAGTTAAATACGTTAAATTGCAATTTTTCACGGCACACCATACCTGGTTTCAGAGAGAAGTAAATGGACATAATTTAGACAATGTTGTTAAAGATGTTTTAGCAAAACAAATGGAAAAAGAATCGCACAAAGATATGAAAGTTATAGTAATTAAAAGTCATAAAAGATTTTCATGATCTCATTGATATATACATATAATTAATCACAAAGATCCGTACACAAATGACGAAAACAGAACCTTGTTGCTAAGAGTTAATTGTCCGCTAATCCATCCGTATGTCAGTGAGCCGTATCTCATTAAAACAAAACAATTCAATAAAAATAATATCAAGGAAAAAAATAATCTCCATACATGAAATGTCGGCGTTGGATATGGCGTTTTTGTAAATCAGCATACCAGGCTACATTGCAAAATGTTATTGACCTCGTAAGATGGTATGGAACCCTTCTTAAGCGAATCCGTCACGGACTAGGCTGGTTTCAAAATCTTCTCAACTACATACAATTGTCACTCCTAAAATGCTAGAAATTGGACTCCAAACGAACAGCAGTTTTTTCTTCATGTATATCCGACTGAGAATCGACCCCATGGAATAAATGCAATGATAAATGTATTTAAACGTAATCGTTAGATTATGTGGTGACGTGGTGGTGCGTAGTAGATAAGTCTACAGCAGACGAACTGTCATTGCGGTTTCTGTAAACAATAGGGGTGATGACGGGGTACAGTAAACGAAATTCTATTTAGTCCGTCAGTTAGATGATCAAAAAATAATGGAAACATTTTTTCTTTAGGCAATCAACCAAAAAATCACAAAGTTATAGCGCGTCAAAGTTTGGGAGTAGGGGCTCGTGACGTCACTTTTTAGTAAAATTTTACTTAAAAGTGTACTCCAACGTGAGGTCATGCGACTTTTGAAATAAATATATATCTGCAATGTTTATATTATGTGAAAAAAGAAAAATACGTGTCCAATACTTTTTGATAATCTACCGGATAAACGAAGAAAAATAATCGTCATCATCCCTATTTGTAAACCAATAAACCATGCATGCATGACGCTAATGCACTTTCGAAATTTCTGTTTGGTGCTGACAACGATATTAAACATATCAAATATCTTTCGGTGTCGAGGTAAAACGAATTCTAGTAGAGTTCTATTCGCTCTTTTCCTTCGTTTTTATATCTATGTATAAAAATATCAAACTTCACATTTTAGACGGAGCATCATTGGAGTTTAGAACGACTCAACCGTAATCTGATTGCCTTTTGTGGTGTTCATAATTTTCAGAACAAGGTTTGTGTGAAAGATTGCCACAAACCTTCACCAGAAAATTCGAATATATGGGTGATGTTTTTGTACTGAAATCTTAACGTACGTCATTTCGCCCTCAATAAAATTTAATACGTATATTAATGAAATATCGTTATAATATCGTAAATATGTTTAGGTTTAGAATTGTTTTTCAAAACCAGGCATAGCTCCTACAGTGCCGCTACAGCCGTCCCTACCTTAGCAACCTTAACCCCTTACCCGTAGAGTTCTTTTTTATTTTTAACGCAGGAAAAAAACACTGTTTGCAGACGACGGCGCCTTAAAGAGGCACACCGCCGAAGGGACCTCACACCTGGCTCCCGCAAGTCTTACGAACCCCCCAATGGCTGCCCACCGAGGACCCCGATACTCTTACGGGCGTTTTACGGCATAATATCCGCGAATACCTTCTACACTGCTTAATGCGAAGCCGCGGGTTACCCGTTAGGGATTCTTCCGCGATTTACCCGTGAAGCCCTGGAACCTCGACCTCGAATACCTTGTTCACTCCACTCGAACCATTTGTACGGGTTTGCTTCAGAAGCACGCTAATCCACTAGTCCCGACTAGCGTTGCCAGGCGTCCGGATAAAGCCAGACATAGCTACGCTTTTTGATTGCGT